TTTAAGCTCAAGGCTACATGTAATTTCAGATGCTTGCGATAGAATCTCGCAGTCAATTGATGGCTTCGAAATGTACAGCTACCAATTTAACATCAAAGTTATCGGCAGACAGCTAACCTGTGTCTTCAACTATTTCATCAGGTGGGAGTGAAAGATGTTTCGATAAATGACATTGACATTGCCCACTGAGTTCCATCAAGGAATCCCTCGAATCGACCAGACGCAGTCGTTTGTAAATTCGTTAGAAGGATGGTAAAGGAAAAAATCATGGCGTCTAGGAAGACAATAAGGAACATAACAGCACAGCAACTAGGATTTTCTTCAGAGATTGATGTGAGTCACCTCAATATTTACGATCATCTGACACCTTGTCTACAAACCCTTCTGTATGAGGCAAAGAAGTTCAAAGAAGCAAACAGCTTCAAATTCTGCTGGGCGAAAAATGGTTCCATATTTCTCAGGAAATCAGAGAATTCACCGATCCGCAAATTTGCAAATATGGAGGACCTAAATGCATTTACCCAAGGATAGAGATAAGTAACGCAGTGACAATATTGTTTGTTTTTAATATCTCACCTATGATATGATTTCAAACGCGCTTTAGATGCAAAGAACAGGACCGAAATAGAAAACTCTTTCTTAAAGAACTTCCATATTATAATTTCACTGGCAACTTAACTCTCTACCACGGGCAATTTAACAACTCTCTGATCCAAAATCAGCTACCAACTAAGAGACAACTCGAAAACCTAAATGGTTTGCATGATCTTGATCTTTTCAGACTAAACTCAAATCTTGATGACAGTTTAAATACCAACAATAACTTATTCAATCAACAAATCTACAGCCGTTATTATTCTCCGTATCATTTTAATAAAAACCTAAATACCCAAATAAGAGACGTGATGGAAACGAGCTTTTCGATTTTTCATAACAATATCATCAGTTCAAATCACAATCTTGAAAAACTCCAAACCAACTACTTATCAGAAATGGATTTTCAGTTTGATATTATTGGACTTACAGTAACGAAAATAACTAAAACGATTGGTAATATTAGCTTTGAAATTCCAGGTTACACTTTTGAATACGTAGCCACACCATTGGCATCAGGAGGCATCGTGCTTTTTATCAATGAAGACCTTAATTACACAGTGCTTGAAAGGGTCTCTTGCGAGGCGTTTCAAGCACTGTGGATAGAAATTTCCCATGAGAAACAAAAAAATGTCATATGTGGAATAATTTATCGTCACCACAACTCCCCAGATCAATTCATTGAATATTTTAATGATACAATCGAAAAGCTGGCTTCCACTGGGAAAACACTTTATTTAATGGGTGACTTTAACCTATGTCTTTTAAAGACGGAATCATCTTCATATAGTCAGGATTTCCTACTGGCCCTACAGAGTTTTTATCTTCTTCCAACTATTGACAAACCAACACGCGTGCGTAATAACTCAGCCTCTCTTATTGATAATATTTTCGTTAATAATCCTGATCAAGTTCTAATTAGTGGAAACATTATTACCGATGTCTCTGATCATTTTTCTCAATTTTGTATTTTGAAATCTAAGCGAGACAAACCTGTCAAGAAAACAATTAAAAAACGCGACTTCTCTCAATTCTCCTCTGAGGAATTTAATAATGATTTGTCCACGATCGACTGGGATGCTATTATTGCCTCAAAAACAAATAATATTGATGAACTATTCTCATCTTTCTACAGAAAATTAAATTCAGTCGTGAATAACCATGCGCCTGTTAAAATTTTATCCAAACGTAAAATTAAACAACTTGCAAAACCGTGGATAACAAAAGGAATAAGGACATCAATAAAAATAAAGAACAAGCTATATGTAAATGGAATACACAGCAAATATAAATATTAGAAATAAAATTACAAACCTTATTTGTTTGAGTAAAAAACGTTATTACTATGATTTCTTTGAGAAAAATACAAATAATATGAAAAAGACGTGGAAAGTAATAAATGAATTAATAAATAACCAAAGGACAAAAAGCAGAGTGTTAACGAAGCTGAAAGACCCAAGCAATAACAATCAAATAACACAAAATCCTTCCAGATTACCAAATATTCTAAATAAGCATTTTGCAAATGTTGGTAATTTACTAGCAAGTAAATTGCCAAAGAAAGATAACTATATGAGTTATCTTGGTAAATTGAAATCACCTGATTCTTCCTTCTTTTTCAAACCCATTACACCAGAAGAAGTTAAACAGGAAATATTATCCCTACCAAATAGTAAATCCTGTGGCTTATACTCCTGCCCTACACAACTGCTTAAATCTTCTTGCAATATCATATCTCCAGTTCTTTCTCATATTTTCAATTTATCTGTTATCCTTGGTATCTGTCCTTCAAAACTTAAGATTTCTAAAATAACGCCAATATCTCTTTTGTCTAATTTTAATAGGATTTTTGAAAAACTTTTGTACTACCGGATGAAGGAATTTATTGACAAAAACAACCTATTGTACTCCTCACAGTATGGATTTCGCAAGTCACATTCCACAGAGCACGCAGTACTTGATATTGTCGAAGATATACTACGTAATATGGATAAACGGTACTTCTCATGCGGTGTCTTCATTGACCTGAAAAAGGCATTTGATACGGTCAATCATGAAATATTACTCGATAAATTGAACTTTTACGATTTCCGTGGATTGATAAATGACTGGTTTCAATCATATTTAAAAAATAGAACACAAACAATTCAGATTGGAGAGCACTTATCAACAAAACTTATCTCCCCCTATGGTGTCTCCCAGGGATCAGTCCTTGGACCTCTTCTATTTTTACTTTACATAAATGACATTCACCTTTGTTCTGATAAACTAAAATTTTATCTCTTTGCGGATGATACTAATATACTTTATGCTGATAAGAATCTTAAGGCGATCGAGCAAACGGTTAATGTAGAGTTGAATAACGTACATGACTGGTTAACTGCAAATAGGTTGACATTGAATACAAAAAAATCAAATTTCTTAATTTTTCGTCCTCGTCAGAAAAAAATGTATTTTTCTCCACAAATAGGTATTTTAGATTGTGAGACAAACCGAAGAGTTAGTTTAGAGCAAAAAAGTTATATCAAATATCTAGGCGTTTTAATTGATCAAAATTTGTCATGGAAAAACCATGTTGACCCTGTTATCGTAAAAATAAGTAAAACAATAGGGATGATTGCAAAGCTGAGGTACTTCGTTCCCTCTACTGTCCTTGTAAATATTTACAATTCATTAATTCTACCTTATATAACTTATGGACTCCTTGCCTGGGGCAATGCGTCAAATGCTTATTTAAACAAGATTTTAGTTCTTCAAAAGCGAGTTTTGCGCTTAATCTATTTCACCGATCGAAGAGAGCATGCCATCCCTTTATTTGCCAAAGCAAAAATTCTGCCTGTTACGTTCCTATATTATGAAGCCGTAAGTAAACTTATGTTTGACGTGCACAACCAGAGGGCTCCCATTAATATTTTGAAACGATTTACTAAAACATCTCATATTCATACCTACAATACTCGATCCAAATCACAGCTCTTTAGTACAAAGTACTCTAGACTTAACCTACAAAAAAAGGCTTTCTCGCGTGTTGGTGTCAAAATTTGGAATAAGGTACCGAAAGAATTCAAAACGTTATCAAAACATTCCTTTAATAAACAAATAAAAACGTCTTTATTTCAGATACTAGATAATGAAGATTCTTATCTTGATGTTGAAAAGATCTCCTCTAAACTTAAGGACTGCATAATTAAAACAAATTGATCCGATTGCTTTCAGTACTAATTTATTTGCTTCTATACTTTATTGAACAACTATTGATGTATTTACCAGTTATGCTTCTCTTTATAATTTAACAATATCTAACTATTTAGTTTTTAATTTTCTTTATATATTGTAAATAATGTTTGTTGATGATTGACCCGCCTCGAATAGCAAATTTGTGATGATGGCAGACAAAGGCTTCAACATCAGGGATCTGCTTATAAGAAAGAAAGTAGCACTTAATATCCCACCAATTTGCAAAGGTAACTCACCCTTTAAAGTTTAGTGGTTTAGTTAGATAAAGGGAGTTTCAGAGGGAAGGAATGAGAGAAGGTATGGAAAAAGCAAACAGATGGTCTCCTTAAGCTGGTAAAAAATCTGATATAGCAACATACCTATATCTAATTGGTAGTAACAATGAAGTTGAAGTTACTTAACAGATACACATTCTTATCAGTATTTTTATTAATGGTTAAGGCAAGCTGCTCATCAGGGAGATACATGTAACCATTACTTTAACTCAATCTCACAAATATGTTTATAAAGGCTGCAGTTCCCATCATATGTGATCTCTTTTCTAGGTGCTTTGATATTTAACATAAACAGCTTTGACTGAAAAACAGCAAGTACTTCTCTATCAGTAGCTTCTCAAGTTGGCATTACTTAATTTGAAATCTCTTTTTTTACTCAGGAAAGCAACTGTCTAAGAAGGCAGTAAAATCTGCCTGTGCCATTGCCAGTGTTTGGATCCATGTAGAACGTGCCTTTGGACCACTTAAGGACTTTAAAATTCTACAAGGGAACTTTCTTGTTCCAATGCTGCCCATTGCTGACAACATTTTTAGTGTGTGTGCTGCTCTGTGCAATTTGCTACCACCCCTGGCTAAATACCTACTGCTGCCTTGTGAGCTGAGAAGCACAATAAGTTTGTAACTTTGAACAATTACCAGTCAGTTTATGTCAATGGTTAATAACACATATCAAAAATCTTCTTTAGACCCACTGAGGAATTATCCAGCATTGAGCATCAGCATTCACCACCAATGATAGTCCCTTATAATGATTTAAGTATGTCATGGTGAAAGAGTTCCTGAACTATGTACTTTAAGAAAAAGTTTCTCAGCTTCTCAAGCATTTCGTTCCACAACTCACTGTCAAACTTGACATTGACAATCAATATTCCTTTGAAGGTATAAATAACTAGATCACAGCAATGAATCCCTGTTATTCCCATCAGACCCTGAATTTGATAGTTCCATTTTTTTTCCTTTTTTTAGTATATATTTGTCACCAACAAACACGAGCTTCTCCTCAGCTGCAACCTGTGGAGGGAGATTTCTTTTTGCATACATGCTCTTAATTTCAATTAACTTCTTCTGACAGCACTCACAAATCCTGACACCATCAGGACTGGCTCCCAAGCAGGGCCATAGTGTGTTTACTATTAGTCCACTGTTTTTTATTGACAACTTCTCATGGTTTCTCTTTTGTTTTTTAATGTAGAGATCAAGTGCTTTCTTTTGCTTTTCATGACCCCATGTTAACTGTTTTGGCATTGCATCTTCGGCAATTGGACAGTAATTCATAAGATGCTTCACAGTGTTTCTCTTGTCTGTGCTCTCTCTGAGGTGGCACACGGTGTAAAATGAGGAAGCTGTAATTCTTCCTGCCCTTTGATCAAACCAAAATTGGGACTGGGATTGATTGACAGTCTTTTTGTTGATCATTTCTGCTTGCTCTTCATTAAATGAAATAGACTCAAGGAACTCAGTTGCAAGTTCTGTAGAGACTGTAGGTGTCACTTTTTCAATATTAACAGAAACAAACACTTTAGCGTAATCACTCATTGAATAAACATCAACACTTTGAACACTTTCTTGTTTACTGACATTTAAATCATCACTTATCAAAGCCCTGATTTCTTCCTCTGTTTGCCCTGGTTCTTCAGCTGAATGTAAGAAAGGGAGAGCTGAAGAACCTGGGAATGTTTCCAGCAACCCAGCTTTGAACTGTTGTTCTAATTCAGCTGGGTCATAAGGAATACAAAGTGGATTAAAATCTCTTGGCTTTGCAGAGTCTTTTACTGTCACACCATAGCCACCACTATTTGTTTGTAGCTCCTGAATAGGCAAACTTCCCTCATTTCTCTTTCCTTTCTTTTTCCACATGCATTGTCTTGATGTACATGACTGGAGATCATTGAATCGTACGCTTGCTTCCAGATCAAACAGTGCTGCAGCTATGTGGCGACAACCTCCATCTGCCCTATCAAATAGAGACCAAGATGACTGATATTTATTAAACATTGTCCTCACACAAATAAAATGATCAAAAAAGCAAGTGATTTTCAGTCATCTGCTTGTTTTTTCTGTATATTAATCTTATAGCAGAGTGAAACATTTGGTACACTTGAGTGGTACATTTGGTACATTTATTTTTAAGAATAATGGGGCTGCTATTCCATCAGGTGAGCCTACAAGCATCATATAGAAAAAAGCCATTTTCTCATCCAAACCCCTTTTCAAATTTTTGAATAAGAGAACAGACTTAGTAATTTTGTGTTATTTACAGTCTCAATATAGGTTGTTGAGGTTGTTGTCTAAAACGATTACCTAGACGTTCCGACAAAAGAATGGCAGAACTTGTTTGGCGATAGCGATGATGAAGAAAAACGGCTCCCTTAGGAGCCACCGTGTTAACAAAAGCCTATGACCAACCACGAAATTTAATGTGTCTATTTATTCTCCCTATTTATTCCCTTCCCTGCCCTTTTCTTTCTCTACTTTTTAATTTTTCCCTATTGCTTTCACGCACACAAATTTCAGAAAGCACGTGGAGTTATCTTAGCTACAAATGCTCCTCAAATTTGTAGTTTCCAAGATGGCGGTGTTTTCATCAAGCGATCCTTCGAAGCTCTTTGGTGTTCCTTTGGTCTACTAAATCTCCTTTCAAAAGGTTGTTTAACGGCACGAAGACTTCATTTTTAAAGCAACTTACAAAATATGGTAAATTACTTCTCCAGTAAATCGAAGTGCTCGTATATGCTTCTATCATAAATTGTGGTGATATAAGTGCTACTTAACTTCACAGCACACGGTTACATTTTACTCTGTGGTTTTTTTTTTAATTCACTGTGTTTTCAATACATTCTCAGAAATAAGAGATCAACATCTGGGAACTTTCTATTGGTCTGAATTTTTCTTTAACTAGAAATGAGGAAAAATTGGATTTTTGACCTTGAAAATGGGGGGTAGACTTGTACATGGGTTTGACTTATACATGGATAAATACTGTATATGACTTATATATATTGACAGCCAGAACTACTTGTATCGTATCTCACATCTTTGGGTGTTGAAGAAATCAAGTTATCCACAAGGAAGCACATCAGAAGGAATCTTCAGGCAGAATTTAGCAATGTACTTCTCTTTGAAAATTTGATAGATACATAACAACCCTTCTACTGGAAAGGCAGGACAATGCTGGCCAGTCTTAAAAGGGTGCAAATATACACCAGGCTGCTATTGACATTCGTGAAGCTACTCAAAGAACAGAAAACAAGATGTCATGGCCTCCACGCCCTTCAGATCTCACCGAGAGTGCACTGAATGTTCTTCAAGAGTTAGGTTCATTCTCAAAAACATGACTGACTGGAAACAAAGAGTGCCTAAATGAAGACTGTCATACAAGAGTGCAGAGGTTGACAAAATCCTTCACCTGAGATCTTACTTTTGGAGTAAGCAGAGAAAAGATTAATCCACCCAAACAGATCCTTCTGCCCTATGCTGTAAAGACCCAGACAAATAACGTTGAACTCATCCAAATGCTTAATCGTTGCGGCCACGGAATCGCCTATTCTCAGCTTGAGGAAATCAACACTGGACTGTGCCTTCAGAAAAATGGCATCAGCAAGTGAAATCCTGTTGCCAAATAACATCTAGCCTCATGTTTGTACTACTTTGGCATGGATAACATTGACTGCCCCAGAGAAACGTTATCAGGTGAAGGAACATCACCTAGAGTAAATGGAATAGCAGTACAGGCAAGGCATTTTAGTCCAGGCCTTCCTCCAGAACCATAAATGCAGATGGTTAAGACCGAAAAAAGGAGTTTGGAGGCGCTGGATGCAGAAAATCTGCCTATTCACAATGCAGGAGAGCATTCTAGTCCTCCTCCTCCTAAAAGATTTTTAGAAGTTGCCAAGAAACCCTTGAAAACACGTGAAGAAAAAACCCTCTGTGGGTCTTAGCATGACTACATGCAGGAGGCAGGCACAAAGTTAGTGGATGGACAACAACAACAACATTTGGCAATGAAGTTGAATTTCCTCAAGACAATGTGGGGTATCTTCCTACAATCAACGCTCCTGCAACAAACATGTAAACCGTCCATGAAGTTTTGATGTGCTCTGTTAAGATCAAGGATGCACTTCAACTGAAGAATGTAGTAGTTGTGCTTGATCAAGCTCTCTATGCTGAGGCAGGAAACACCCTGATATTGTACTTAAAATGGGAGTGTTTCATACAATCTGCACTCTGTTATCTATCCTGGGAAAGCACTTCCAAGATGCTGGCCTGAGGGACATTTGTATTGAGTCTGAAGAGATTGTGGAGGGATCAGTTTCTGGGGCTCTTGATGGACACAGGTACAACCCCACCATTTGATTCCATAAGCAAATGCATGAAGCCCTCCAGCAAGTGCCTAATTGGCATGCATGCTTTCACTGGTTGTGACACTGTAAGTGCATTCGCTGGAAGGGGAAAGATAACAGCCCTACAACTTGTCAAGCTACAGAAATCCTATGAAGAAATGTTTAAGCAGCTAGGGATGGAATGGGTTCTTTCGAATGAGCTATTTCAGAGCCTCCAACAATTTACATGTAAGCTCTACTGCTCTCAAACGTCATCAATGAGTGGAGGTACAGGTTATTCTGCAAAACAAAGTTTGGGATTTTCAATGACTAAAAACCAGCGTATATGACATTTCGCTGTAATTACATGTATTTGACTTAGTGGTCACATTTGTACCAATTCTATCTGTTCAGCTAAACCAAATCAATCATTTGAAACCGTGATAAGCCTGGTATAGCTACTCGTTTGGCATGGTTGGCATGGTTAACATGATTATTATATACTAAAATAAACTAGAGGAATCATTGTTTAAATTGATCGTTAGAATGTAATTAATGTAATTTACTCAAGCAATTTCCCTTTTTTTTTATTTTCTGAATAATTATTCATATTTGTAATTTGGCAAGTGTTGCCATGGAAACCATTCAGGGGCAATGCCTGTAAGTCATTTATACGTTGTTGGAATTAACTCTGAAACCAACTTTTGAGATTTTCAATAACTAAAAGTCAATGTTTGAAACGTTTTAAGGTTTCTGTTTGACTGTTGATAGCCATCTTGGTACCTGGACTGAGTGTGAGATGAACAAATTACTTCAGGAGGAAGTTATCCAATCCACTAGTTATGATCCAAAGCAAATTATATCTACCATATTTCTTACGCAAAAGCCAGATGGTACACACCGCATGATTCTAAATTTGAAAAAACTTAATGGGTCAGTGAAGTATGAACACTAAAATGGATACACGCTGGAAAGTGATTAGAATGATGAAAAACAACTGTTACATAGCATCTATTGACATCAAAGATGCTCATGATTCAGTTCCTGTAGCTGACACTGATCAAAAATATCTTATGTTCTAGTGAAGGGGAATACTTTACAAATTTACATGTTTCCCTAATGGTTTGGCATAGTGCTCTAGAAAGTTCACAAAACTGCTTAAGCCAGTGCACTGTTACCTGAGAAAGAAAGGACACCTTTCCCTGGGTTTATAATTATGCTTGTAAGGCAGGCTGTGCTGAACCTAAATGGCAGCTTTACTTTGCCCACTGAAAATATCACTATACCTAAAAACCAAAGTGACTTGATCTAGACAACTAACATCGCCCTCCCAAATGACAATGTGTCACTTGGAAATGTTATGGTGTTCGTCTACCCTGATGATGATATCGGCGGTCGCCTCATTTCTCTCCCTGTGAATACTTCTGGCACCACTCAAGCCTTGTCAGAAGCACAGATAAAGAGCAAATTCAAGTTAGAGATGGCTAATGTTACTCTGACCTCTCAACTTATCAAAAACTCTACCACAAATAAGTATAAAGGAAAAAGTATAAACAAAGATGGCAGTGTTGACACGTCTCTACAATGCTCTGCACATTTTTTGTTCTACACTCCCAATGCAAGACCTGTTCTTAGTTCTGTTAAAGACCCTTTTGTTCGAAACTAACAAGGAAGGCTTTGGAGTTGTCGATGTACGCCTTAGTGAAGAATAAGCGATGACAAGGGCTCCAAATTATATTCTGAAACTCTGTTCACTTCACTTGCATACTGGCGCCAATCATTTTCAGCTAAGACTAAAGAGACTTAGGGCAATGAAATTCCTTCAGTACAGCTCTACTGCTATGATTTTAATTCTTCGATTATACAAACATCCTTTTCGCTGATAAAAATCTGAAATCGTTGGAACTCTGTGTAAATCAAAACCTTAACAAAGTATATGATTGATTAACTGCAAACAAATTCACCTTGAATATCAAAAAGAGTAATTTCATTACATTTTGCCCTGCCCAAAGGAAACTTTCTTATCAACCTAAAATCGTGATATTTGATAACACACAGAACAAGAAAATGGCTCTGGAGAATAAAGATTATGTCATATATCTCAGGATTTTAATCGACAAAAATTTGTCTTGGAAACACCATATTGACTATATAATCATTAAAGTAAGCAGAACCGTAAGATTAATTGCAAAATTATGACACTTGCTGCCAACACACACCCTCTTAAATATATACTAAGCGCTCATAGCTCCTTACTTAATATACTGTCTGACAGTTTGGGGTCAGGCTTGTAAATCTTACCTTGACAAGCTCCTAAAGTTGCAGAAACAACCTCTTTGCTTCCTCTACTTTTCCGATCATAATGAGCATGCAATTCCTTTCATTGTTGACACTCACATCTTACTGCTAAAATTTGTTTATTGTGAATCTATAGCTAATTTGATGTTTGATGTTCGAAACAGAACAGCTCCATCCAATTTTCAAGATCTGTTTCAAGATATATCTAACGTTCATTCTTACAATACATGTTCTTCGGCCTCTAATAACTTCTAGGCGTCTAGGCTATCCGTTCAAGCAAATTCCTTCTCTCAAACAGGAGTAAAAGTGTGGAATGTAATACCTCCAACATTAAGACATCTTTCCAAAATTGCATTTAAAAGAAAACTCAAACAAAGTTTATTCAACATATTAGGTTCACAAGACTCATAGAGATTTATTCGAGATTATACAAAATGTAAAATCCTGGTAATACTTCTCCTGATCTGTCCTGACTATTTTTAAAAACAGTAGCTGTACCTTTAATATTTTAAATTAGGTCAATGTAACAGTTTTTCTTACTGTTATTCAATACTGTCTCTTTCCATTCAACTTTATTAGTTAATTTCTGTTTTTAATATATTTTTGTAATTTGGCTATTAAGGCATGGCCCACCTAGATTAGCTTTTGCTAGTTGCAGCCATGACGTTTTCTATAAAATTTTATTGGAAATTAATAAAGTGCATGTGTGTTTATCATCTACATAAATGACTTACCTTTGGTGGTTCAAGGTTGCAATGTCGAGCTTTATGCTGATGATACAGTTATCTATTTTGTAAGCAAGTCAGTCAGTGAAATTCAAGCTCAGTTAACGAGTAGCCTCACTAATGTCCTAAGCTGGCTCCATGCTAATTTTCTAATACTCAATCTTGAAAAAACAAAGATTATCCTTGTTGGTACTCATCAGAGGACTGCAGAGGCTGACGATTTAGTTATAGGAATCAGTAACAAGCGTTTAGAAAGGGTTAACAAGTTTAAATACTTTGGAGTCCTCCTAGACAACACAATATCTTGGAAGGACCACATAGAATAAATTGATAACAAGATCTTGTCTCACTTAGATGTTCTACCTAGAGTGTGTAAAGTTCTCCCTAAGCCAACTTGCCAGATGCTTTATAATACTAAAGGCTTGCCATTTTTCAATTACTGTTTGCCTGTCTGGAACAGTTGTGGGCTTGGGAACAAGGCTTATCTAACTAAGCTAAGTAGACATGCCACATGTATTATTGAAGGTAGGTCAATGGGGGCTGAGGAGTTAAAATCAACACTTGGCTGGCGCAGCCTACAAGCACACAGAAATTATCTAAAATGCCTTTTAGTCGATTTGTGCCTTCATAATTACTTTCAGAGTTAAGGCACGTGCACTTTTTCAATGGCTATAACACCAGAAGCCGTGATTTGCTGCATCCTCCCTTCACAAAAACTGCTAAGTATCAAGAAAGCTTTATAATAAACGGCACTCAGACTTTTAACACCCTTTCAAGAAACTTTAGACAAGTAAAGATGCTCAGAGATTTAAAATCAAGCCAAAGTGCCATCTTAAACAGTCATGCCTGCGGTACATGTTGCCTTTATAACTTAAATATTTATCTAGTTTTTAATGTTCTAATGTCTTTGTTTTTGCGTTGTGTCAGGGCTCCATTTGAACTATCTATACTAAATTGGATGTCCCCTGGATTAATAAATGAATAAATAATAAAAAACATACACGACTCCTATTTGCAGCGTAATGGCCACCAGAGCTGCCTATCTAATGTTATAGATACCATAAAACTATTTGATTCACTGGGGTTCATAATTCATCTAATAGTTAGTCTTTATCCCTACTCAAGTCATCACTTTTCTGGGACTTGACCTGAACTCTAAGACTATGACAGCTTGCCTCACTCAACAAAAATTGAAAAGTGCCTGCCTACATGTCATCAATGTACAGTAGCCAACTATTAGACTTGTTGCACAACTGCTGGGGCCAATAACATCCAGTTTCCCAAGCGTAATGTGTTCCCACCATATTACTGCGCACTTTACATGGAAAAAACCAAAGCACTATCCCAGTGCAAAGATCTTGAGGGTACCATGGAATTGAATTCCCATGTTCTTGAAGATATAAACTGGTGGATGAACAATATTATGTCATTGATCATGGGGAACCCCAGGCTATCTTAATCACAGATGCCTCTACAACGGGCTGGGACTGTGAATTTCAGGGAACTCCCACTGGGAGGTTATGGAGCTCAGATGAAGCGAAACACACATTAATTACCTTGACATGTTAGCTATCAAATTAGGGCTAAAATGTTTCAAGAAGAAGATCAGACAACAGCATGTGAAGCTCATGGTGGACAATATTACAGCAGTCACTATCCTTAACAACATGAGTACTGGTCACTCCTGGGAGCTTAATGAGCTTAAGAAGGAACTATGGTCTTGCTGTATTCACACAGGAGTATGGCTGACTTTAGCCCATATACCTGGCAAATACAACATAGTCTCTAACAGGGAATCTAGACAACATTGCAGAGAACTTGAGTGAACTCTTAATCAGGAGTTATATGAAGAAGGTATCTGTAGACTATCAGTGAAACCTGATATTGACCTGAAGGTTTAACTATAGGTTTAAACCCTATGTATCATACAAGCCTGACCCAAGTGCTGTGGCTGTGGCTGTAGATGCTTTTACGGTATAATGGTCACTGTATGTTTTTTTATACTTTTCCACTCTCAAGTGTAGTTATAAGAGCCCTTCAAAAGATACCGCAGGATCAAGCAATAGGCTTACTATTTGTACCATTTTGGCCCACTCAGACATGGTGGTCCACACTAACAAGGATGCTGATACGAGCACCATGAGTGCTCCCAAATAGAATGGACATGAGGGACTCAGTTACAGTGCTTTAAACACTGCAAGGAAGTGTCATTGTATTACAGGGAAACCATTGTTTCTCGGTTT